TCTTAATGGTTCAGCAGGGGATTTTAGCTGGGAGAATAGTTTCCCCAGGGACTCTGCTAGGTCCCAAAGAATGATGATTTCTGGCTCATGGTATCGGCGAGCTCCAACCCACACGGCTGGACATGGTCCAGTGATACAGGTGGTACTGTGGTTAAAGAGATTGATCGCATCCTTACTCACAGGAGAATTCTTCCTCCAGAGCTGCAGGGCTTACCAAAGTGCCAAGTTTATGGCTACTCTTCAGGTCCACTTCAGAAAGGTTTTTTTCCAGTGTGCACCCTAGGTTGTTTCATTTGGATAAATTGAGGAAGGTGGAATGTGTCCGAAGGTTCGCCATAGCTATCTGATCGATTCCCAGCATTCGACAGCTTAATGGACCCTATCAGATTCCTTGAAACATGAAACACTTGATATAGCACAGGAATCTATTGGTGAACACCCGAGAATGGTAATCAGACCAGGAAGCCAGTAGGACTGGACATGCAACAGGAACCATGAACTCAGTCAACAAAAGTATTGAGAGATGCTGACACGTGTGCAAAAGGACCAAGCTACATGTTTGCAAGGCCCTGCTACTGCCAGGTTTGCTTTACGAAAGGGAAACTTGGAAGTTGTCTTGTGCATTGGAGTCTCGTCTTAATGCCCTTTGTAACGGGTTCTTGCTCTGGATCATGGGATACTGTTGACACGACCATGTGCCCAACTGCTGTTTACACTGTGAAACCGCCATAATTCGGGACCGCCAACTCAGGCTATACTGGATGAACCTGCCTGTCAGATTCTCTTCCTGAGACATCCCTAGGGGAAGAAGGCTAGTAGGACCGCCTAGGAAGTAGTGGCTTAGATTGATCAGACCTGTCGCGAGATGTTAGAGATAGGCCAAGGGCCTATGAGGATCCTTCGCTGCTTGAAGCGAAGGGTGGCTGGAAGCAGATGCGTCTATGATGCCCTTCTCAAGATCTGCTTTTTTTTTTTTTTTTTTTTTTTTTTTTTTTTTTTTTTTTTTTTTTGCTTCGCTCCCTGTCTTACCCTTAACCCCCCCCCCCCAGGAAAAGCCCCATTGATTAACTGATTGAGAGGATTTACTCGAAGTCGGGGCATCCTTCCTGCATGATCCCGCCGTTTCAAATGCATGTTCCTCTACAAACACCCCTCGGCTGTTCAACAAAATGAACTAAGCATAAAATTATCGTAATACTATATCAGTCTGTAGACACCGCTTTTATTACATATAGGTCTCTCGGGCACGAAACGCGTTATCTGGACTACCTGAAGATGGACATCGAAGGAGGAGAGTGGATTGTGCTCGAAAACATAATCCGAACCACCAGCGTTCTGAACACCACTTCGCAAATCTCCTTGGAGGTAATTTGGATCCGCTGTAATTTCCTCTTCACAAGCTTAGTATTAGGAAAATAACATGAAACCGTTGTTTGTGTTGTCAGAATTTATTTAATTATGAATGTGTTTTTATAACATATTTATTCATCAACGCTTACGTGTTCCAATGATTTTCAGATCCACTTCGATGAAATACGAAAAGAAAAGCCACTTGAAGAGAAGCGAAAAGGCATAGAAAGATATTTAGGTGTATTTGATGGCTTGGCTAAGCTTGGATTCCAAATAATGAATTTTGAAGAGAACGAAATAAACCCAGAATATGAGACTGTAGACGGAGTCACATTTGCAGTTTATGCTGAAATTTTATTACTAAAAACGGTTATGTAAGAATGCACTTGAAATTGTTAATGGGTGTTATTCAACAATTTATTAATGAATTCAATTTAAGTTACTTAATTCACGAGTAAGTTTGTCTCCTTATACCAGCCAAGGATTGACCACTAACAAAAGCATATTCTTCGGGCACCAATGGAAGAGTGCCTTTTGGCACAATGGCCCACATTTTTTTTGTTCTTTTATAGTTTTCTGTAACTACTATGTTCAGCTTTGCTCTGTTAAACAAATATGGCATGATGGGCGACTAGTGAATGAGTGTAACCATTGGGTTGATTATTTAGGGCAACCTGGATAATTTTCCTGTCATAATTTCATGACCAGAGCAGTTTTCACTGCTCATTGGGCATTTAATGGAAGCGGATAACAATAGGGGCCTGTTAGTCCTGTTTGAGTTTAATGTTTTTGTACAGCCATTTGTCGTATATAATTTTCATTCCTAAAATATGGACTCCTATGTATCATTATTTTTCCAATTTACTTTTGTTTGCATTTTATCCACATATATCGAGATTCTATTTTTTTACAAGTAACATTTCTCTGTAAAGACTTCGTGGGACCTCATGAGTTATGGTATATGACACAGATAAAAACATGTTTGACCTATATTAGAAAATATTCATAATAAACATTTTGTAAAAACAGTGATGAAAAAAATGGAATGTATACTGCCAAGATATCATAACATTAGTTGGGCATATGCTTTGGAGTCTGTACTTCCAGCTTCACCGGCATGGCCACAGTGATGGGATGTACTGTGCATATAGACCGGCAGCCAAGGGAGTTTGGTCAAACGAACTTGGTACCAATTGCGAAGTACAGGATCATGTAGAGAATGATAGGCAGATGAAGAACTGGACGTCTGCCGGGGATCCCCTGCTGCAGTTGGCCCCTGGGGACTCCCAAAAGGAGGGAAAATCAACTGGATCAAACATTATTGGTACCACCTGAAATAAAGTTCATATACTTCAAAACATCTGAGAGAGTTCAGAATGGACAATGTCAGACAAATTACCTGCTGCATTATGCCAGCCAGACAGGCCCAAAAGTGACCCACCCCTTCTGCTCTGGCAACAATGATGTAGATGAAACATGAAAGGTACAGAATGACACTACTTTTGAATGAAAGGTAAAATTCCACCAAGTAAAAAATTACCTTAGCCAGACATACTGCCAGCTGCCCGCCAGACACCCTAAAAGGGCCTAAAACTTTAGGCTGGATCAAACATTATTGGTACCACCTGAAACGAAGTTTATATACTTCAACACATCTGAGAGAGTACAGAATGGACAATGCCAGACAAATTACCTGCCTGACAAACACCCAAAGGTTGGCCCCAACCAGTGCTTATAGAAAAAAATATTTGTTTAGTACCACTTGAAACAACGTTCAGAGACTAAGGGTGGAATTCCTAAAGGCCATTTAGGAAAGACAGCGTTTGAAAATAAATTGTCTTTGCCTATTTACAGATTTGAGGTAATTAAATGCAGGCCCTGAAACGAATTAATTAGAACTTACAACTCCTAATCACCCTTTAAAAATTCGATCCTTAATCTTTAATCCACTGGTGTTTTACAGAAAAGGGTAAGATGCAGGCCTACCAATTGTCACTACAGTTATTTCCTCAGGAAGTAGTTCTCCCCATAGTCACACAACTTCATAACATTGGCACGCTAAGACACTGCAATTTGTTTATCTCAGATGATGGTGGACGTCAATCTGTATCCATACATATCTCTTTCTCTAAACTATATATAGTAGTTTCAGATTTACTTGTTGGTCTGTAGGAACAACAGACCCAGGTTAACTCAAAGTGGGTGCAGTAAATGAAATTGCATAGTGCTTATGATAGTGCAGTGGGGGCATTGTATATGCAGTGTTTTCAGACCCTTGGGACACTGGATAATCATCATTTGAGGAAATACATTCTTTTGCACAAATGGAATGTAGTTGATCCTTTTCTAGTCGATGGTCTAGTTTTGGAATTGGTAGAAATAGAAAAATCTTGTGCTCCCTGTCTGGCCTCATAAAGTAAGGACTAGTTTGAATCTGAGAACTGCTACCTCAGTTTGTAGACAGGGCAGCTCCTATAAAATACGTTATGGGAGCCACTACAATTTGCACAAGTACATGACTGAGCAGAGCAATTTGTCTAGGTTGGGCACATAGAGGGCCGTGGAGTGACAGTGTTTGGCTGGGTAGCAGAAAACACAACATTTCTGATCTTGTTCCTGTCTTGTTCTCGGGATCTGCTGAACCCAGTGACCTATTTGAAGATGAAGAACTAGCGTCAAGAGGTTGAGAATGACAGAGTATGAAGATGCTGTTTTCAGACCCTTGGGACACTGGATAATCATCATTTGAGGAAATACATTCTTTTGCACAAATGGAATGTAGTTGATCCTTTTCTAGTCGATGGTTACTGGTTCAAGGTTAGAGCAAAATGAAAGTGCTTGACATCAAAGGTCATATAACACTAAAAGTTCATATACCACATATATCCTAATGCTTAGGATAAAAGGTACTAAAGGTTCTAGAGCATTGTAGGATAGCATGGTAGTGAATAGGGTAAAGGGGGAGTAAATGAAGTAAAGCAGAGATCAGTAAAAGACGATGAAATGGAGAGTATCTGTGGCTGAGGAAGGATGAGGAATATTTTTTAAGGATGCCTGACAAAAAAGCCGTTATGAAAATCAGTGGGTAATACAGGTAGAGAAGGGTGTTGGAAAAGTAGGAATAGAATCCAGAGAATGAGATAAGGTGACTAGGGAAGGTACGAACATATTAGGAAGAATATCAAGAGGGGAAGGATCCAGAAAAGGACACTTGCGACAGAAGGGATTCACGAGCATCCAGGTGGGAGTCGTAAGTTTAATGGGGAATGAAAAGAGAATGGTGCGTGAAAAAGGAGAGAATGGGGTGTGTTGAAAGAGAGTGGAAGGAAGGAGGTAGGAGGAACTTAAGGATGATGATTATGGATATTGGCAAATACTTTGAATATAGAGGAAATAGAGATAGAGGGATTGGAGGGGGGGTGAGGGAGCAGAGCATTCTCTTGGGTCATGTTTAGGAAGTTTTGGATGTCTTCAATTCTGGAGAAGAGCTGAGTGTGGAGGTCTGAGAAACAAAGGTTCTCTTGATTAAGAAGAGGTGATAGATGTCTGAGGATTATAGGAAGAGGAGGGTGAAGGAGAGGATGTGGTAGGAGAAGATGGAGTGGAATGTTAGGGTAGCTTGGTGCAGCAGATAAAGTGGAGATAGTGTAGGCATCAGGGAAGTGGTAAACATTGGAATATCTGGATTTAGACTGGAAAAGGAATTTGACTGGGGGAGAGGGGGAATAGAGGTTAGATGGTTTGGGATAGAGGGAAGAGATACTGGGGGAGATGTTGAGACATCTTGAGAAGATGAAGGGGAGCAGACCTAAGGATAGTTTTGGAATTGGTAGAAATAGAAAAATCTTGTGCTCCCTGTCTGGCCTCATAAAGTAAGGACTAGTTTGAATCTGAGAACTGCTACCTCAGTTTGTAGACAGGGCAGCTCCTATAAAATACGTTATGGGAGCCACTACAATTTGCACAAGTACATGACTGAGCAGAGCAATTTGTCTAGGTTGGGCACATAGAGGGCCGTGGAGTGACAGTGTTTGGCTGGGTAGCAGAAAACACAACATTTCTGATCTTGTTCCTGTCTTGTTCTCGGGATCTGCTGAACCCAGTGACCTATTTGAAGATGAAGAACTAGCGTCAAGAGGTTGAGAATGACAGAGTATGAAGATGCTGATGCTTCTGAATCTGAGATAGAATGGAGCAATGACTCTGTAAGTACAGATGATTTGTAACTTGTAATGTTCTAAAGGATTTGGCAGCTATCAGTTAAACTAAATTTGTGATGAAACCAATACTTTTACCAACATCTAATGTATCATTAGCTAAAATATACATGACAGCTGGGTGTCTAATGGCAGTAGGTACCTTTCATTGGAAAGTAGTTTTATTCAATACCTTTCATGTTTTATCTACATCAGTTATCCAAGAGCAGAGAGGGGGAGGGTCACTTTTGGGCATGTCTGGCAGACATAATACAGTGGGTAATTTGTACTTTTCTGTACTCTCTGATATGTGTCAGAGTACAGTAACTTTGTTTCAAGAGGTACCAATAATATTTGATCCCGCCAAAATTTTTAGGCCCTTCTGAGTGTCTGGCAGGCCTAAACCAGCTAGCAGTATGTCTGGCTAGGGTCACTTTGTACTTGGTAAAATGTTATCTTTCATTCAATAGTAGTTTCATTCAGTACCTTTCATGTTTTATCTACTTCAAGTTTGCCAGAAAACTGCATGGGGTCAACTTTTGGGCGTGTCTGGCGGGCATAATGCAGCAGGTAATTTGTCTGGCATTGTCCATTCTATACTCTCTTCATATGCCCTATTATTCTGTACATGATCCTGTATTCCGCAATTGGTACCAAGTTTGTTAGACCAAACCTCTCTTGGCTGCTGCTCTATTAAGTCATCAGTTAGCCTGCTGGACTGAAGTAAATACTGAAATGTAAATCAGCACAAGCTCATAATTTCATTAACTCCCAATATCATCAATTCCTTTAATAAATCAACACCCGGAAGTGGAATATACACTGCCTGAAAGTATAGTTAATTTGCCTTAATGAAGCCAGAAATTTTGAACCAGGTTTTGTACACATATGTGTTTGTGTAGTATTTATTTACCTTAGTCTTTTCAGCCTTGTATTTTTGGATACTTGTGATTAAAGATCTCTCTGGTGTTGTTTGCAGTTTTAGTGAATGGTTTCTCATTGATTTTTCTTATTACGTTATTTTATGCAGTATTTTTATTTTCTTGTGAATGCTTCTACACTCTTATAATAAAAGTTTGATTAATTAAGCACATTGCCTTAGTTATAGTATTCACTATATCACTGTAGTTTTCCTCGGCAGTTGCATACACTTAGAAGTGTTAAATGGAAATGAAGGGAGAACCTACTCCTACTCCATCTCTGCTTAAAATGTGCAAGTCTTGTTCTATAATTAAACATCACTTCTTCGGGGAAAATGAGATTAATATTAGATTTTGCTTCACATAGTAATCAATAAATCCTTTAGAAATGATATGTAAACATAATAATTGATTTTGTATGTTATTTTATTTAAAACACATTACACATAATAGTTTAGAAAAATACATCTTACACTGCTCTAACTGATAATCCAATATGTAAATATATCTAGAAAAGTCTATATGCTTTAATATATATTCAGATATCATCATTGGTCAATAAACATAAGTTGGCGTCTAGTTCATACAAATATTTTTTGTTTGGTTTGTTAATAAAAATGTATTCTTAATATAGACGAAAATCATCTGAAACAGTGCAATACTAGAAAAGAACATTCATAAACATTAATATCAAGATATATATCAATAAAACTTCCTCACTTGAAAATGCACAAGAAATCTTTGCAGTCTGGAATAAATAGAAATAAAGAAGCGCTTGCACGTGTGTGTGTGTGTGTGTGTGTGTGTGTGTGTGTGTATGTGTGTGTGTGTGTGTGTGTGTGTGTGTGTGTGTGTGTGTGTGTGTGTGTGTGTGTGTGTGTGTGTGTGTGTGTGTGTAGGCCTATGGATATATACATAATGTACACATACATATACATACATACATACATACACATAAACGCGCACACACACACACACACACACACACACACCACACACACACACCACACACACACATACAGACACACACACACAGACACGCACACACAGACACACACACACAGACACACACACACACACACACACACACACACACACACACACACACACACACACACACACACACACACACACACACACACACACACACACACACACACCTTATTTGAATGTAGGTACATTTTAATACATGAAGTTTACATTCAGCCATTTGCATCTTTCCATATATAATAAATTGTTTAAATGAGAAAAAATTGCAAAAGATCAAGGTCTATCATGTTCCTAACCAAAGCCAGTTACCATATATGCCTGCTCTATTTAACCATATCTGTATCAGTTCTACATTTTCAGGGAAAATATAATTCAAAGAATATCTTATCATGTAACTAAGTCATTATATATAGAGACAGAGAACTTAAACTAAATCACTGAACATGAAATTCAGGTATGAAAAACTAATAATATCTGTCTGACAGAATGCTCAAGAAATATAATATATAATGTTAATGAAAATCGTAACTCCAAACTGTAATGTAATAAATGCTAGTAATTTTGTTTATTTTTTTCTTTCAGTTAGATTTAATAAAATTTATTAAAATTTCAGTCCATTCCATGAAGCAGCATTACACATGATTCTACACTTCTTCAGCTGTGCTATATAACTTATGATGTATAAACCATAACCAAATAACTGATAATATGAAGAAAAAAGAATTACAAGTACCAATTTATGCTTAAATACAGATAAAAGACATAGTCCATGATGAGGCGTGCCAGGAATGCAAAAACAAGGACATGGAATGTTAAAAAATGTGCTTTCAAATGTTTACACTTTTGAATGCAACAGAAAATGTCTCAAATACAGTTTGACCCTCACTAGTCTGGCAGATCTGATGGTTCTGGAGTGACTGGAATCTTTTAGTCACCAGTTTGCAATCCTGCTATTTGGCTGCCTGCGGTACCACTCTGCCCTAAACTGTTTATGTCTACCAAAGCAATGGTCTTATACAACCAGTAAGTAAAGTCTATTGTATGCATTACTTTGATTTTTTTTTATCCTTAGTTTCATTTGTTCTGAAAATCAACCAATCTAGCACCCATTGGGTACCTTATTTGTTGGACTAAAGAGGTTCAAATTGTATTGCAATGAATTGTGAATTCTCAATGAAGTTATTCTAGAATTAATTCTGCAAAAAATTAAAGATCTGAAGAGGAAGAGTAATGATTGTGTGAAATTACCTTTTATACATTAAACAAATACATATGCACATTTGTAATTATCAAGACAAAATCGAGATTCTTCATTGACAAAATGCCATATCATTTTGAATCTGTCTGTCCCTTATCTCTGAAGCAGGATAACTGTTCATTCAAATGGATATAAATACACCAAGTATAAAATTCAGGTGCTTGTTATAATATTAAACTTTCTATTGGATAAACTGAATAATATGGCAAAAAACATTACTTGATGGGAATGGATATGTTTCCTTCTGATGCTGAAATACACAAGAAGCTCAAAAGTTAATTCAAGATTTTGAGAAAAAATGAAAACAGGTAATAGTCTTCTACAGCGATCATGACTTCCACATGAATAACGAAAAGAAGTCTACTCACATTTTTTTGTATGCGTGAAGGACAAAACATGAAAATGACAATGCCAAATGTATCTATAGTTTAGGTAAGCTTCTGTAGATATTAGAGATCTGAAGCATATGCTGCTAAATTTCGACAGAATTTTCTTGATCAATTAGGACACCTTGGCAGATGACCAACCCCAGTATCCCTTTGGGCCAAAGTTCTTTCCATAGCAGGCTGAAAATAGGAGATCTAATAATAAATCATAGTATACAGTTGTCATGGCCTACATAATCTGCTAAAGTTAAAATAAATCAGGCATTAAGAACAAATGTTAGACAAAACACAAAGAAATAGAAAAAAATATTTGCAGTAAAGGAAAAGAAGGAAGAAATGATTGAGACAAATAGATCATGAAGGAGAAATAAAAGGTGTAGAGGGAAGAGGAAATAAAAGGAAGACAAACAGATGATGATGGAGAGAGATACTGAGAAAGAGAGGAAGGATAAGAATGACAGAAAAATTAAATATAATATAAATATTTTCATGCTGTTTATGAAACACCAAAAATACACATAAAATCAGCATGGTGTGATATCAGGAAGAAATGTATAATACTCAAATCACTTACGGTTACAGTAAATGTCCTGTTCACGCTCACGGATAGAATGTGAATCAAGGCGTTTGTGGCATTCTCGGCAGTTGAAGCAAGCCTTGTGCCAGGCTCCTCCTGCGGCCATCAGGCGCTCAGCCATGAATACTTGCTTAGCTGTAAGAAGCATGTAAATTTCTGTTATACTGATATATACTTTTTGAAAAGAGAGTGCAGATAAAAGTAATACTACTAATAGTTTCAATCCATATTACACAAAGCTGTCACAAGTAATAATCATTTTTTTTAATGAATTTCAAGAAATAGACTTTAATCCTATGGAAGTCACAATCTTAGTTTAAGTG